AGGAGACAAATCCAGACCCTGTTTCAAGCAGATTGGATTTTTGGCTTATCCACTGATCGCTAGTTGCGCATGTAGACAAAATGCGATATAAGATCTTCTATTAAAACAGATCACCTTGCAATATCTTTGAAACTACATTTCGAAAATGCTTCTAGGGGACCTGGATTTTGGCGCCTATACACTTCACATCTCAGTGATGAGAAATATGTTAAAGCAGTTAAGTCTACAATACAAACTGTTGCTAGTGATTGTAATTACCTTGATGTATCCAAACAACTAGTTTGGGAAACTTGTAAGAAGAAGATTAAGGAGTTCTCTGACACCTATTCCAGGGCTAAAGCCTTTAAAGTGGATACAACACTTGAAAAGTTAGAAAAGAGACTTCAAGAACTAGAGAGTAAGTTAGATGATAACCTTGAAGACATTGTTCTAAATGAATACACTCAAATAAAGCTAAAATTGGAAAATATATATGAATACAAAGCAAAAGGAGCACAAATTAGAGCTAGGGCAAAGTGGACAGAGAAGGGAAAAGAGTCTAACAAATTTTTCTTGAATCTTGAAAATACCCGTTAAAAACAAAAATACCATTACCAAATTAAAGAATGGAAATGAGGAAGAGACAAATCCGTTTAAAATTTTAGACTTGGAAGTAAACTTTTACAAAAACCTGTACTGTTTTAAGAACCCTGTTACTGATGAACAGATTGATACCTTTCTTGAGTCTGCTGAGGTACCCTCTCTCACAGATGAGGAAATGCTACTGTTAGATGAACCTATAACTAAAAATGAATGTTTCGCAGCATTGAAAGCGATGAACCAAAACAAAGCGCCTGGAATTGATGGCCTTCCTACCGAATTTTATCTGAAATTCTGGGATGAAGTAGGAGACTTGGTCTTCGAATCCCTGTGTGAAGCAATAGAAAGCAAATACCTTTCCGTGTCCCAGAAGAGAGCTTTGCTAAAACTTATTCACAAAAAGGGGATAAGACTAACTTATCCAACTGGAGACCAATTAGTTTGTTAAGCACTGACTACAAGATACTAGCTGTGGTATTAGCAAGACGAATGCAGAGTTTCTTACCGAAACTAATTTTAGAACATCAGACGGCTTATATTAATTAAGTCAAGGGTTATAGGACAAACTGTTAGATTGATACAAGATATTATTTATTATTCTAATTTTTACAACCTACCTGCAGCAGTCGTCTGGCTTGATTTTAAAAAGGCATTCGATTCAGTTAACTGGAATTTTATGTTTAGAACGTTAAATAAGTTTGGTTTTGGACCTACTTTCACTTCAATAGTTAAAACATTATATACTGATATTGAAGTCTGCCTACTTTGAATTACAACGAGGAATCAGACAGGGATGCCCCTTATCTGCCTTATTATTCAACCTTGTAGTTGAAATTCTGGCATCTAAAATCCGGCAAACTAGCATTGTTGAAGGAATCAAAATTGAGATAAATGATATCATTTGAAACAAAAATGACATAATGAAACAAAAATAAGCCAGGTTGCTGATGATACAACTCTCACCCTGTGTGGTGATAACTCTATAAAATGTGCCCTACAGATTGTAGACAATTTTAGTTATGTTGCTGGGCACACGTTGAATCGCAAAAAGTGTGAAGCCATTTGGATAGGGGCCAATCGAGGAAGAAGAGACACTCCTTTCGGAATCGATTGGCCAAATAAGCCCGTTAAGTCCTTAGGTATCTATTTTGGATTCACGGAGGAAGAGTGTGAGATGTTGAACTGGGAAACTAGAATACATAACATGGAAAATTTACTTCAAAAATGGCGTAGGCGAAAACTAACTTTTTATGGGAAAGTCTTGATTATTAAGACGTTAGCAGTATCACAAATAATTTACAATATTTGTATGATCCCAACATCTGATTGGGCCTTAAAACAAATTGAAAAAGCATGTTTCTCATTTCTTTGGAATGGTAAACCAGACAAAATAAAAAGAAAAGTACTGTACTTAAACTATGAAGATGGTGGGATTAGGATGATTGACATATATGCTAAATGTAAAAGCCTACAAGCTTCTTGGGTCCGTAGAATTATGAAAAATCCAAAGGACCCAAGTAGAGTAAGTAGATGGAGACTTATACCTATGCACTTCTTTAAAAAGCTTGGAAAAAACTTTTTAGTCTTTCGATTTAACTTTAAACAAAGGGCTGATGCACCCCCTTTGTTAACTCTTCCACCTTTCTATAGAGAGGTAGTTTACGCATGGCATGAAATGGGTGGAGGAAAAACGGATCTCGCTTCGGTGCAAAATGAAATTATTTGGTCCAATGAAACTTTAAACTTAATAAGAAAACACTTTTCTTCAAAAACTGGATTGATAGTGGTATCATTTATGTTAGAGATATATATATTGCGTCAGACTTTATATCGCCAGAGTCTTTGCTGAGGAAGCTAACTAATAAACACAATTGGTTGTGCGAGTATTCTTGTAATGAGAGGCCAATAGGACGAAAATTGTGTAATGAGGAGTCTGCAGCAAATTTATGTAATGAAAATGACATGATAATGAGACATGCAAAATAGTTGATATGTTTACTAGCAAGTATCTATACTCAACATATGTGTTATATACATGTAGCAAACCAACTGCCCAAGATTATTGGGAAACTGTAGTACCTAATCCAGACTGGAAGGCTATGTGGAAATGTCAGACCTGTCAAATTAAGAATAACAAACTGCGCAAATTTAATTTCAAGCTATTACACAGAATTTTGCCTTGTAGGTACTTGCTACATAAGTGGAAAATACGAAATGTATCAGGAAATATTTACAGCCCTTACTGTGAATTGTGCAACAAACTTGAAAATTATCAGCATATGTTTTTGGAGTGTCGTAGATTAGACAACTTCTGGTGTAGGGTAGAATATGAAACACACATTGTTATTAATGATCAAGAGGTGTTACTGGTGAGAAGTAGTAGTGCAAATCTCATAAATGTTGCTAAATACGCAATATTTATTTCTTGGTTAAAATGGAAAGATGATTATTGAAAGAAATATGGTGTATTCCTAATTTTTATGAACTTATGTCAAACTTATATTTGATTTTCAGTTACATTATCAGTTTGTTCATGTATGATATGTATATGATTTAAGGGTTTTGATGTTCACTAGCAAGTATCTATACTCAGACAATTTCTGGAAACATGAAACACACATTGTTATCAATGATTATAACTGTTGCTACATACATATTTATTTCCTAGCTAGAGTGTAAAGGAAAGATGATGTATTGGATCCTAATTTTTTCTGAACTTGTGTCAAACTTATGTATCATATGTATATGACTTAAAGTGCTAAATAACCCATCCTGGGGCATATTTTGACAATATATTTTGTTTATCTGAAAAAAAAGTTTGTGGCAGCCAATTCTGAGATTTGTGATTGCGCTACGTACGTCGAGTCTTTTTATGTTTGAAAGGTAGTTTTCTTGTTCATAGTGTTTGTTCAGAGTAGAAAGAAAGGAAAGTTTGGAATTGTTTTGAATATCGCAATGCCAATTGTGTATGTAAATATCTTTGTCGTCTAGTCGTTGTCGTAGTTGAGCAGTAATTGTATCTAAGTGGTATGACTTCTGGTTTAGCCATATGTGTCCAATACCGTTGTAATATATATGTATTGAAATTATATTCTACTTTGAAAAAGATCGTGTGATATTTTTGCCAGCGCTTGAACTAAACACAATTTGTTCAGTGGGTGGGAGGGAGGCAAATGCATTGCGGATTCAATTTCTCGACATCGGGCCCATTATTATTATTTCCATGAAAAATGGAGGCATTGTTTTTGGCGTGTCTGTGTGTCTCTGTGTGTGTCTGCGTTTGTGTTTCCGAAAAATTTTAGGCAGCATAACTTCAGAACGCCTTTATGGATATATTTGGTACGATGGTAGGTCTTAGGAAGACAAAGGTCAAATCTAGGCCGCCTGTTGGATGACTTTGGTACTGCAGCAGAACTTCCGGTTTTTGTATCTTTCGTACTGAACATGCTATGGTCTTGCCTTTTTGTCGACAGATAGCTTTTCCTGTCAGGAATAAGTAGTGTGGGTTTAATCCTACTAGCGGCTTGATCTAGAACTGCAGGCGACTTTCTGGCAAAATCTTTCAAAGCCAATAAGTCCAGATAGGAACAACGTATTTTAATCAGTTTTTGGTATGTAGGTAGCTGAGAAAGAGTTGTGCAGAAATAAATGAAAAGTATGCAAATCATAACTAATTTGCATAATTAATGAGGAAAGTCTCTAGTTACAGTGTTTAATATAATAGCACTGTTATACATTTAATCTATTTAATCTGTGGCATGTGAAAATCTATGTGACTTATTGGTGAATAATGGTAATTTCATACCTTGTTACATGTGTAAGTTACTGAAAGGTTAACACCACTATGTATATATTATGTTAATATATAGGTCATTTGCATAATTATTAAGAACGTGCTGAAATGAAGGATGACAAAGAAGAGGAAATTTACACGAAAAATATTGTCATTTGAATTGCAACCATAAATTAAATTAGATTATGCTAATTACGACCCTATTTCCATTGTTAATGAGACAAATAAAAAACATTTGCAAAAATTCATTTATTTAATGGAGCTATGATATCTCCGAATTCTTGTTTTAGGGTTTTTAGTGTTAAATGGCCAATATAGTAGTCATTAAATCACCTTTTCAAATCTGATTTCAAACTGCCATACTATCACATATCAAATTTTAATGTCGTCAGAGGGCACAAACTGCAGTTTCCCAGGGCGAAAGGTTCAGAAACAGGGCAACCGGCTGTTTTATAAGTACAAGTCGCATAAAAGATTAAGCACCAATGTATCCTACGTCTTTTTTTCGCAGTGTAAGTTAGAGTATCATATGATTATCCCTATACATTATTAAACGTAAGTTATGTCATATTAGCAACTTCATTTAGGCACAGAAGGGATTGCACTCAAAACACTCGTCCACTTTAGTCCGGGTGCAATGAAGTGTGTAATGTCGACCTTTCGGTCAAATGTAGTTAGCTTTACTGACGCACAGAATCACCCTGCTCTAAACAATGGTGTGAAAAATCTTTTTTTTCTTTCTGTGCTTAATGGGGTTAATGTAGTATGTAATGTTAACCTAGCAGTCAGAAATAACTTTAGCTGTGTTACGTGATGAAGATGTGTACTTTACCATTAAGTGTAGGGGGTCAGAAAAAGAGAATATTAGGAACTTTGTTTCCATTATGAAGTAAGTTTAAACTGTAATGTCCAACACAACAAACAATTGGACTCACCCAAATTTTCGACTGTACAACTCCAGTCTTTTTCAAGGAATGAGCAATCCACCGCTTCCGTGACGTCACGCAGATAACACACGTGACTCCGTGAGCAGTGGGTCATAGGTTGCAGAAAGTCTGTGGCGCTCCCCGTCTCTGTTGAAGGAAGGTTGCAATGCCTCGACGCAGATGCCCCCCCCCCATCCCCCGCACAAAGATTGCTCATTCCTTGACAAAGACTGGAGTTGTACAGTTGAAAATTGGGATACGACCAAGTTATTTTGTTGAAAATTGCAGTTCAAACTTGCTTCATACTGATTTCTACTAACACAGATGAACTTTCAAGATACCATTTTTCTCTTTACAGAAAGCGCGCCCTCTGGCTCTGACCTGGGTGATCGTCACAATCATCTGCACTGTGGTGTGCCTGTTTGTCTACATCTATATGACGATTTTTTTTGTTCTATATGACATTTTGTTTACTTTTGTATGTTTTGTTCTATCTTGATCTTTACCAGTAAAGTGAAATTAATACTAGAGTATTTGCATTATAACATTTTACATATATAAGGCCTGATGCTACTACAATCACTACTTATCTATTCCATTCCTTTAGTCATGTCCAAATGTGCACATGGCCATCATCTAAAGAATATGTTTTTTTCTAGGTTGACAGTGGCCAAGGCATTGATGACCGTGCGATATATAAATTGCACACTGAAGTTGGTTTCATCTGGGCCTTTTGGGGAGTTCTCTTCATTATGACGGTAAGGCATTGTTGCATTCAGAACCCTGATTTATCAAGACAAATATTTAGACACAGATCTGGATAGTCCACGTGTATTCAGAACCATGTCTTGAGGGGGGTGGGCTCTTAACTGAGTGCCATCCAGTAGATTTCTGTGCTGCTACATTCAAATTGCGATAACGGTTTCGCGCAGGCGAAGTACGTTCGGCATACATGTGTTATGACTACTTGTTCTTAAGGTCACGTGACTAAATATTCATTTATATGAAAAAGAGTCTAGAAATTTCGAATAGTCTACGTTTCATTTTATGTACTCTACTTTATTTTAGGAAGAAAGCCGCCTTGTGGGGTATAGATCCACCAGTGCTGTCACGTGTCCGTAAGGTTAACTTAGGGTCATTTGGGTCATTCATTCTCAAAAACAGAACATTTAACAGTCTACGTGGGTTGACGTGTCTGTATGGGTGTCTTTTTCATAGGTGTAGGGCTGCCTTGTAGTGTTTTCGCACTACCAGAACCTCCGTGACGAGGCACGTGGACAGGGACAATGGCAGTTGGTGCGGATGGGCAACCAACCCTACATAGCGGGTAACCAACCCTACATAGCGGGTAACCAACCCTACATGGTGGGCAACCAAGCCTACATGACAAGCAACCAACCCTACATAGTGGGCAACCAACTGTACGTGGCGGCCAACCACCCCTACGTTGCGGCCAACCAACCCAACAAGGTGGGTAACAAACCCAGCATGGCGGCCAACCAACCCAACATGGCCGCCAACCAACCCAACATGGCCGCCAACCTACCTTATAAGGCCGCCAACGAATCCAACATTGCGGGCAACCAACCCTCCATGGCGGGTAACCAACCCACCAAGGTGGCCAACCAACCCAACATGGCCGCCAACCAACCCAACATGGCCGCCAACCAACCCTCCATGGCGGGTAACCAACCCACCAAGGGGGCCAATCAACCCAACAAGGCCGCCAACGAACCCAACATGGCCGCCAACCAACCCAACATGGCCGCCAACCAACCCAACATGGCGGCCAATCAACCCTACATGGCAGGTAACCAACCCAACATGGCCGCCAACCAACCCTCCATGGCAGGTAACCAACCCAACATGGCGGCCAACCAACCGAACATGGCGGCCAACCAACCCAACATGGCCGCCAACGAAGCAAACATTGCCGCCAACTAACGCACTAACGTGGCCAACCAACCCAACATGGCCGCCAACCAACCCTCCATGGCAGGTAACCAACCCACCAAAGGGGCCAATCAGCCCATGGCTACCAACCGGCTAAGGGGAACACGCAACCCATTAGTTATATATTGCAGGTCCTTAGTAAGATTATGGCCAAAAATCAAACGACGCAAGTACACTTTTGGGCCTTATTCATTCGGACATGTCCTTACTTCCAGGTACTGAAATGGCAGGCAACCAACCCTAACCTGGTTGCCAACCTATAGTTCCTGAGCCTGATAGTGTTATCCTATTGCCTTAATCGCTAGTTTATATTGACAACTAGGATTGATCTACCGATTTACATGTAGTTTAAACGTGTCCATATAGGAAAATATTTGTCAACATGACTTGAATTATAATATTTTATGGGTGACTAATCGGTGTGTAGATGTGACAAATATATTTCAGTTTCAGTTTATTGAGATACCCTTTAGCCCATTATGGGCTATTCTTCCCGGGTTCCAATACAAATACATGTAACATCACAATTACAGACACAATTCTACATATTTACACTTAACTTACAGCATGAATCATTTAAAAACAGAGGGGATTACATGTCACATAAAAAAACCTTAACTATTTACATGGCAATCATTAAAAAAACATATGAATTCTACCTTGAAGATAGCTGTCTGACTTTTATGAATTGCACCAACCTGTTGGTAAAGTATTTGACATGGGAGATGGACTTTACATCTGTAGGTAGAGAATTCCAGAGTTTTACGGCCCTGTACACAAACATCCTTTTCCCACTATTAGTTCTGGGTTTTGGTAAAGAAAAGTCATTCATTGACTGTCTTGTTGAATAATCATGACGTTTCTGAACAGGTACAATGGAAGTACTGATATCCTTTGGTTCTTCTATAGCAACGATCTTAAAGAATAACTTCAATGTGCTTACACACAGCTTGTCTCTTACCAGTAGCCAACCTAAATCTGCGTGCATCTGTGCGATGGGTGTCTCGTATGAACACTTCAAAGCTAACCTACAAGCCTTGTTTTGTAATACTTGGATCTTTCTGACACATGTTTCTGACAATCCATCAAGAATTGGTGCACAATACATGATACAAGAAAGAACCAAAGATTGGGTAACAAGTTTTCAAATGTCGTCTGACATGAAACTAGCATAACGTCTAACATATGCAAAATTTCCAGCTAACTTTGCAGTGAGATGATTGACCTGTAACTTCAAAGATAGAGTTGGATCAATGTGTAAACCTAGTAATACAGTTTTCGATACCTGTTCCACTACATCGCCACCAATTGATAGGTCAAGTGAAGTATCGGGCAACAACTCTGGTTTTCTTAGCCGATCCAATCAGCATACATTTCGTTTTTAGTCATATTCATAATAAGACGGTTGGCCCTTACCCAATTTGCAATTCGTGCCAAATCAGGTTGCAACGAAGCCACAATGTCACTGACTGTTTTAGCAGACTTATAAACTGACGTATCGTCAGCATACATCTCTGGTGTACATAGTGCTACACATGAAGGCAAGTCATTTGTATACAGGGTAAATAGCAGTGGTCCAAGACAACTCCCTTGTGGAACACCACATTCCAGCACTAAAGGCTCAGAAAACTGGCCATTAATATACACCACTTGTGTTCTACCCAGCAGATAACTTCTAACCCAAGACAAAACAACAGGATCGAAACCGTAAGACTTGAGTTTGGCAATAATAATACTGTGATCTACAAGATCAAATGCAGCGCTGAAGTCTATATACACTGCACCTGTCAGTTTCCCCCTGTCCATTGCTGAAAGCTAGTCATCGGTCATCTTAATCAAAGCTGTTGTAGTTGAGTGGTTGGGGCGGTATGCATGTTGTGATGTTGACACGATACCATTCACATAACATAGTGCCATATCTGATCATGGACCACCCTCTCTAATACTTTATTAAGCACTGGCAGCGAACTGATTGGACGGCTGTTTTTACAAGTCAATGGAATTCTCGGATTCTTACGAAGGGGACACACTTTTGCTCGTTTCCATTGAGTTGGAAAACAACCTGTCGTGATATTGATGGTAGGTAAAGGAAAGTAACTATACATAAAACAAATATGATATAGCATATTAGAGAAATTGACCATGAAAATTTAGCATGAAAGGAGTGTACTAGTAATCGTAGTCTATTACCAAGATTTTTTATACATTTATCTAAAAATCGCATGAATCATCAATTTTTAAGAATTTTACTGTTGTTTTGGAATTAAAAAAAAATTGTACAGAATTTAAGATTTTCTATGATAATTCAGTTTCTATATTTGGTGGGGTACACACATGAGCATGTCAACATACCAGGATATTCTGTGCATAGTCTTTCATTGTTTGTCACTTTTATGTATTTGTGTATATACTATGATACTGTATAAGGCCTCAATTGGAATGGTCGGATACGATGTGAAATGAATGTGAAGAATAAGATTTTTTTCAGTTTTGGATAATGTTAGTCCATGGCTAGGCCAAGTAACTGTTATCGATTGACTTCCACGCCAGCATAAAGCTTCATCTGATTGAAAATAAAAAAAAAATCGAACAAACAAATAAGAAATTGCCTACTGTTCCGCACTACTATGTAACTGTAGAAGTGACGCTACGTCCTTGAGCGTGGCTGTTGTGATACCAGGTTTCCACACTATTGACACTTTATCAACTGCCATATTTCGTGAATATAGGTTTAAATACATGAATAAAAACATGTTGACTGTGATACTACGTTTTGTCCCCTCACTTTTTGTTTATTGTTTAAAATGTGTATTTCTTCTTCTTGTAAATGTAAACATCATGTTCTTTATTTTTCCACTTTTTTTTTATTTTGTAGATTTTACCCCGGACATAGGCTACATACTGTGTTATGCCACAATACGATCATCATGTTTTTGCACATTATTAGCTCTGTTGGTATGCATGGTCCCTAAATGAAAAAAGAGCCTGCTTCCCTGTTGTTCGAAATGCATCCCAAGCTGCATGATAGACTGGTTGCCGGCTTAATTTGTTTCTCAGTCGTCCACTTTTAATTCTAATTCCAACACGATGTACCATCATGCCAAATTACTCTAATAATAGCAAACTTTCGAAAAATGTACATAATTTTGGTAGAAGGTTAAGGTTAAATCGGCAATCTATGTGATCCTCTAAAAACCATAGAAAGTTTCAGTTCTTACACAACCAAACATCGAAGTATCAAACAAATTTGAGGGTGTCAGGGGTCACCATGGCGGGAGCATCGTCTTTCCCAGGCTGCGTTGGTTAGCTTCAAATTTAAGGATCCTCTCCTACTTCACAAGCTACCCAGTTCTTATCTGGTCATCTAAAAGATTTGTAACAATTGCTGGATAGGTTTGGTAAGAAATAATAACTTTTCTGCACACTTAATCGACGTTTATGAGGCCCAACGCTAGCAGTGGGGAGGGCATGCCCCTAGCTATGGAGGTATAGTACTCTTATTTTCCTTTATATAGTGTATTCGTATTTATTTTCAATTTATCCTATGTTTGACTTATGACTGTACCTGAAACCATATTTGAGTGTACCATGTCTTGAGCCTAGATACTTGCGATTAATGTAAATGGTACTAGTATTTAGCGCGATATAGTGTAAGATACGAAATTAGCATATCAAAGCGCTAAAGCGCCCAGCTGAAATAGGTCAAATCGCCACCGTTCATTGTATCTTCGTAATGGCATTTATTATGTCGGGAGTAAATCCTGCCAAGTTTTCCAGCTTCAAAAAAGTTACCTGTGTAACATCGGTAATAATAGCAGTCCTGATCTTGCACTTTTCTAAACCGGTTATCTGTTACGAGTCTCTGATTGTTAAAGACACTGTTAGACTTCGACAGACACCATCTCAGGCTGTGTCAAAATATGACTATGCTCTGCATCAATTGTTAGGTGTCCGCAGTAAGTTGGCAGAAAGTATGCGGATTCCCGAAAGGAAATGTAGCAATTTTCAGTTTTGTGCATGTGTATTATTGATTTTGGCCGGAGAC